AAAGATCTCAAAACCCAAAAATAATGAAAATCCTCACTATTACTTGGAAAAAGAAAAGAGGAACAAAGAAAAAGCATATTATACATACATTTTCTATTATATAAAAAAAATTATCATATAATATATTATCAACTAAGGAACGAGCTTGAACTGGGCTTTTTTGAGAAAGCCTGAACCCAGCCTGAAAGGTCAGGCTTAGTGTTTTGCGCCCAAGTCCGAACCTATAGGCCTAATATGCATGTCCAGGCCTGGCTTAGAACGAGTCGGGCCGACCCATCAGGCTACCTGGCCTATGAACATGTCTACATGCCAAATACATCCTAAGAGTTTGAACTTTCAACAGCTTTAAACCCTCAATATGCAAGTCACATATCAAGAGTATCCTACTATAGAGACTGGATTTGCTGCCAACAAAAAAAAACCATTCCAACAAGATGTGTCTATACATCTTATGCATGGTGGATCCTAGTCTCAAGGTGAAATGTGTAGATAAAGATCATGTTGGAAGTGTGTTGGGAGTCTTGGGACAATTTCTGTTAGGAGCATATTGCACTTCCCTATTACTAGTTTCGTTAGGGAACTCCAAAAGAGTAAATGTTTAATACCCAATTCAACATCGAATACAATTGTCCCAAATTTGGATATTAGAACTTGCATCAATTAACAATCAGATTAGGGGTGCAAGCCACACTGGGTTAGGTTAGGTTGAGGTAAACCCTAACCCAACCAGAGTTGTTGAACCCCAAATTTAGGGTAGGATTAGGATCAGATTTAGTTCAGGTCGGGCTTAGGTTCAGTTCAGGTTACAACCAGAGTTGTAAGAACAAGATTATCATGTTTAAAAAAAATGCCTTTAAACTTAAAATTTTTAGCAATACAATATACATCATACATGTATGGATATATAAATGTGTGTGTACATACATAAATAACTACAATGAAAAATATATAAATATAGATATATACATATATGGATGCATAGTTGCATATACATACAAGTGAAACGGAACCGGCTGCCTGGACAGTTTTCAGGATGAATGGTTTGAACGTCCGGGTCAATGGATTCGAAAACACTAGTTAGAAGTTTCCACTCTTTAATCTTTACTGTTTATTCTTTACTCTTTATCCTTTACTCTTTAAATTGTTGAATGTTCAAGTTGTTTATTTTATGTTTGAAATTTTAAGGTTAATTTCTTTAATTTCTGCATTTTTATTGTATTTTTTAAACTACAGTTATTTTTAGGGATGATTCGAACTGACCCATGGATCGACCTTAACCAAACATTTAGGGCTAAGGTCTAGCATTTTCCAACCCAACCTGAAATCAACCCCCATGCGTCTTGACACCAAACAACCGAGGTATACCTAATTGCTAGGTCAAAGAAGACACCAAACAATTGCTAGGTCTAAAAGTCACCAAGAAACTGAGGCAAACCTAACTACCAACCTAACTCTGCTCTACTCTCCCAAGCTCTCGAAAAGCAAGTGACGGAGTCTTGATTGCTCAAAACTCCCCCCCTGTATAGGACCATCAAGAATTAGATTGGCCAACCAACAACAATCCAAATCTTATCCTAACCCAAGATTCAAAGTATCAACACGTATCGGCCCGTATCGGCTGATACGTATCATTCAGGGACCCCTCCAATACGCCCCTACAGTGGGTGTATTGGAGGTCTGACCGATTCAGCGGGTAGAGGAGACCTAAATCGGCCCCCCGGAACCAGTTGCAAAAAAATTAAGAAAAAAAAAAAACAGCTCCAAAATGTGTATGGATTCGCCCAATACGCCCCTATCGACGTATTGGACATATCAATATTTTGAACCTTACCGTAATCTAATATCCGCTTCACACCCACACTACAAAGGGTTCACTCTGACAGACGGCTTAGAAGTTGAACTCCAACAACCATGCCAACTTTACAAGCCGAAGAGACACGTCCCCCAAAGAGTGCGCATGGCCCAAGCACCATAAGTGGAGAGTTGTGTTTTCACATAACGACAACACAACTTGGTCTTGACTCTTCAACTTGGTTGCATTACTTTTTTTAATTAAGTCATCATCTCGCTACCTAAGCAGCCAAACTAGGAATGGCAACGAGGCGGGGCACCTCCTTCCCGTTTCATAGTCAAGATATTTTGCCTCATTCTCAATGGCAGGGTAGGTTTGGGACAAGGCATTCACTCCCAAGGTTCAAAATATTGATACGCCCAATATGCCAATAGGGGGGGTAAATCAATACACATTTTGGAGTTGTTTTTTTTTTTATTTTTTTTATGCAACCGGTTCAGGGGGGTCAGTTTAAGTCTCCTCTACCCCCTGAACCGGTCAAACCTCCGATACACCCACTATGGGGGCATATCGGACAAGTTTCGGAACGATACATATCGATCGACACGAACCGATACGACACGATACTTTGAACCTTGTTCACTCCCCATTGGGAATAGAGAATTCCTGAATTTTCCCCACTTCAAATCAACTATTTAAAAGTTATTTATTTTGTGGGCAATTTACACATAGGATATAAGAATTTTGGGGTATTTTAAGAATAGAATTATAATACTTTAAGGGTAATTCAAAAATAGAATTGTAGAGCCTTAGGAATTTAAGAATCTAGGAAAAACTTAAGATATTTTAAATATCAATATTAAACCTAAAAATATTTTACTAATTTACATTCAGGCTCAGGGCAAATTCAAGGAATTATATACAAAACCCATCCCCAATTCAGTAAAAAATATTTTCCCCATCCCCGTTTAGAGTCAGGAAAATCCCACCCTGTTCGGGGTGGGGTGAGGCGGGCCCTGGTTTTACAGGGGAATTGCCATCCCTAAGCCAAACTACCACCTTGATCTCAAAAGCCCATGCCATGATGTCTGTTGAAACAAACCAAAGAGCTCTCCAATAACTCAAACCGACTCGACCACTGAACCTACCAGCTTAACTAGCTTGCGTGTGAAGAACAACTATTAAAGAACCTCAAGCCAGCCCTAACAACTATCTCCCTATAGGACTAGGACTCTTCAATACAACAAAACATGATAGCACTTACTAAAGGAGTAGCCTTATAGTTTGTGGTAATCTATTAAATTCAAATCCAACCTGACTGCGACATATTGAATTTAAGAATCAGATCTAAAGTTATGATAATCAAAGTGGAATCGAATTCAGCCAAACTTTCTGGTATCATTAATTTATATTTATAAATATTAAAAAATAGTATTGTTTTTACAATAAAAGAAATGCATGTATAATTAAAATACCGATATAATACCTTGCATATCATATTGGTATCAATGCATACGGATATAGATATACCATGAGAAAAGGCATATCCCTTGTATCATGTAGATCGAGCTGATACGGGCCCGTTTGAACACATCAAATTGTATTGGGTTGCTATGCACTGAAAAAAATTAATACTATGTCCCATCTGCCATCTTTTTATTAAAAAACACTCCTGACATGATTCAAACCTAAACCATTTTTACACATACATCTTAAATGTGCCTTTAAAATAAAACATATGTTTTGGGTAAATTGCTGAAACCTCTTTTGAAGTTTCTGGTTGCTGCAATCCCCCCTGAAGCAGATCCCCTTTGTTAGAATCCTCTAAAGAGGAAAGGGAAAATCTAAAATACCTATATCGTTACTTTTGAACAAAATGTTTATTTTCTAAATTCTCTTTCACGAGTCACTAGCCCAAATCCATCAAATCTCCATTTTAAAATTGACTAGTTTTCCAAATTTTCCATTCATATCAATCACTCAAAGGTAAAGTTACAACTTTAAAATCTGTTCTTTTTATGTTCTCTATAAAATTTGTAGAAACCAACCCCAATAGCAACTTAATGGGTACCTAGGACATTTTCATTCCACTTGTTAGAGGTTTCTAACATTGGGCATCTAATTTCATCTATGTAATAAAGTTTAAGAGAGGTGATTGCAATTACCAAACTTCAAGGGAGGTTTCAACAATGATTAAAAACTATAGGGGTGGTTTTAGCAATTTACCCAAACTTTTATTAACTTTTGTGTTCACATGCAACCCAAATAAATAACATGTTTATATTAAACAACTCCAATTAAAAAAAAAACATTCAAAATTGTTATTTTATAAGCTAATGGAATAAATAATATATTAATTCCAGATTTATATCAGAAAATAAGTTTTAATAACAAGAAATTTATACAAAAACCATTAATAATAGAATAAATATCTTAAAATTTTCATATATTTTTATAAATTAATTAATTGCTATTCTAATTTGCATTAAATAAGAACATATTTATTATTTATAAAAATAAAAAATGGCTAATGACTTAAAAGTACACCTGAACTATCTTACAATTACTTAGACACCCTAAAGTTTTCGAACCTATTTAAAACAAGGTTCAAAAATTTGAGACGCATCGGACCTACGAACCAATACACATCGTATCGAGGCCTTCCCGACATGCCCTTACAGGGGGTGTTTCAGGTCATACAATGGTTCAAGGGGTAAACACACCTTAAACCAACACCTCTGAACCAAATTTGAAAAAAAAAAACAAAAAAAATGGAGAAAAAAGGACCAATATGTATTGGCATGTATCGATACTTTTAACTTTGATTTAAAATACCCTTGAACTTTCAAAAATATGACACATACTACTCTTTTGTTACTTTTCCATCAAATTCCAATTTTTACTTTAAATTTCAAAAACCCAAATTTTCCCCCGCCATTAAAATTTAATAGGTACATATGTTTTACTTATGTATTAATTTGTAAAAATTTATATATGTTTCTTGAACTCTTTATGGATGCATTATTAAAAAAAATTGTATGATATCCATGCATCCCACTATATTAAAAAATTATATTTTGTCTTTAAATTTAGTGTTACTAATGTATTTATGGAATTTATAACTATTTCCTAGTGTATCCATACATTTCTATATTTTTTGTTCATACATGTGTTTTTAAATCACATCATATCCGCATCCGTATTCAAGTTATCCAATACAATACCCAATACCAATACAAATTAAACCATCAAAGTATTTGTTTCTTATGTGCATGTGAATTTTTCAATCTCACTTTCGAAAGTATCTCAAATTTCCAAACAATGCATGTCATCCACCGATTGAAGTAATCAGTGATCAAGGTACCTGGTTACCTTACAAAATATTTACAACATTATTACAAGGACAAAAGATCAGAGATCCAACATGATCATAGTCCTGTGGTCTTGTCAAAGCATTCTTTCGAACAAGCAGCTATAAGGATCTGGACCACTTAACAGAGCTATCAAGAATATTAACCCAACCTGACAAAAAATTCCTCTAGAATTAAAAGATTATACCACCACCTATTTGAAAGCAACCAAGAAGAAATACATAATATTCAACACAGTTTGGAACAGTACAAATACAAGGTTTAGAAATACCATATACAAGGTTTTGCACTGTAATGTCTACATATTTGTATTTGCATTCTTCTGAAACTGAGCCTAGAGAAAATTTACAATTTTTCAAAGATAAACTGTAGGCAACAGTATGTGGAATATATCTCCATCTATAAGAAGTTTGTCCATATAAATAGTTTCAATTTTATCTAGACATTATTTTTCTCGCTGTCACCAAAAAGTGTATACTCCCAAATATGCAAGAACAAGAACAATAACGACAAAACCTTGAAGCTACTGTATACCATTTAACATGGAACAACATATCCAAATATCAGTTTTTATGTCTACAGATAACAAGGACATAACAAAAAAATAACCTCTAGGATCTACCATGAACAAAAAAGCCATTATTCGATTAAAAGGAATATACCTGCTTGTGATGAATCTTAGGTACATGTAGGGAATCACTTGTTCTGTTTAGATGCCATAGTTCTCTGGACAGTGGAGACGCCATCAACAAATTTAGTCCGAAATAGAACATTGGCATTATTGAACATGCCTTCTTTCAGAGAAACCACAATAAACTGCAACTCCACAAATCCACAATAAGAAATAAGTAAATTAAAACATGAATTAGGGAAAAGGTGACAAGAATGGCACAAGCATGGTCACAAAAGAATATAAAATGTCAAGTTATTTCTCTGTTAGAGAATGCCAGAAGCAGGTTGAATTGTGTTAGAGACATGGGAAAGGAAAAGGAAAAACACAGTTTGTTGATTTCATTTTTAAGGCAAGATCTATGCTCTTTCCAAAGTTAAGAGTGGATTTGAATTGCGTCCAAACCTAAACCAGATAGAGAGCAGATAGCTTTCAATCAAAGACCAATGACCAGATACTATCCAAAACACTCAAGGCAATTCAGAGACTTCTCTGGTCAGGTCAAATAGTAAAAGCCTATCCCCAACCACCACACCCCAAAAGAAGCAAGCAATTCCATAATAAGAGTCTATTGCTTTTACTGTCAGACTGATAAGATCAAGGCCATCAAGAACTGATCGAGCAGAAAACCATGTTTTTTCTATCTTAGGCAAGCTCCATCAACTCATACAGGTACCACAAGCCAGATTAGAACTCAGATCATTATGTTAAACTGATCCATTTTATGATATGATAATAAGATTGCATGCCACTTTTATATGCTTATCAACTTATAAATAACAGAAAATCCTTCAAGAATAATAGTTCAAGCACCATGGGAAGAAYATTGGAAGGTTTCATAGTTCATTGTGGGAAACTAAAACACAGATCATCAAGAAGACAAGCAAGAAATCTTTTAAAGTAAACTTTTTGCCCACCAAAACACAAAATTTCAGACCTGAGAATGTGGAAAATGAGCTTTTATCATCCTTCCAATGTTCTGTGTGTGGCTCAGATCAAGAGCTGCATCTACCTACCAACCATCAGGAGACATATAAATTGTATATCATCAAGCAATTTAAATGCACCCCCCACATTACAGACAAGCCATAAATCCAACCAGACGCAAGCAAATGATTAATACAAAATTTGCATTTTCCAGGGGAAAAAAACCCAATGAAAGGGGAAAAAGAAAAAAATATATATAAAAAAGAAATTTCTGTTATGAACTTGTCTCTATCATTGATCACTATAGTTTCAAGGTGCCAAGACAAGGCTAAGCAACAGGGACATACCGTGTTGCCTAGGTGATGGGCCTTTTTTCTACTGACTAAAGTTACGAAAAGAATGATGGAAATACCCCTAGCTAAAGTTCATGATGAGAAAAATTAAACAGCAACAAAATAAAAAAGGGAGTAAACTACATCTCAACAATCTACCTTATGAAACCTACAAGAGTTGAATATATTTAACTATAAAAACATTACCACAGAATCCACAGAACAAATCCATAATATATTTATATAAATAGGGATATATATATATATATATATAGAGAGAGAGAGAGAGATCAGATTCATTTACAAATAATTTCAATTACCTCATCTAGTATATAAAGTGGAGCAGGCTTGAAGAGAAGCAATCCCAAAATCAGTGAAAGTGCAAGAAGTGACCGTTGCCCTCCGCTAAGTTCTGACAGTGATTGCTTCCACACACTTCCAAATGCAACACGGACCTCAAGACCATCTAAGAAATTACATCCTTCAGGAGGCTCCAATTTTGCCATTGTTCCTGGCAATAAAGTAGAAAAGATAGATCCAAAATCCCTGAAGAAAGGGATCCAATACCAGTAGTAAGTAAACTCTACGATTTTTTGGTAATGAAGTGTGCTCAAGCTTAACAGAAGAGAAACAAATGCAGAAAAATTTTAATATGCATAAGGAGGAAATCAGGCCAAGTCAGACTTATGCACTCACTTGTTAACCTTGACCCAAGTAACCTTTAGTGTTTCCTTCTTCTTCTCATCAAGCTCTTCAATCACTTTCCTGATTTTCAACTTGTCATTCTATCCACATGAAATTCATAAAGATTAGAAAATGCAGTATCCATAATAGAGCCATATAATCACAGGACAAAACAAAACACCACATAGCTCCTTCATATTTGCACAAAACACCACATTGATGAATGTACTATAGCTCAAGAATAAAACTATTATATTGAAGTATGTACCAAAAATGTCATTATCCAGTGAAGAGACAGTAACCAACCTCAATGATGTTTTTCTTTGATATCAAATCGTTATACTCATCTTCTGCTTTCTCAAACATTGCCATAACTTTCTTGTTAACCCTCTTCTCAAGGCTATAGGAGAAAGACATAATTAGGAGTCATGAATATTATGTTTCAGCAYTCATAGGGATAAGTCTTGTACTTGAACCATATGAAATCAACTGCAGTGCTAGAAACAAATTAAGTTAGCAAAATCACTCAAATTACATACCCCGACTGCTCAGCCTGGAGCTTTTCCAAATCCTCCCTCGCTCTACAAGGGTCATGTGAAGAGAAATCGTAATCAGTCCCACTTCTTCCAAAAAGTTGTTTCTCGGATGCAATCCAGCTATGCTTCTCAAGAAGCTTTTCCACCTTCAGAGAACAATCATTCTGTTCCAGTTCCATCCGTTTCACCTAAAAGTATTAACAAGAAAAGGCTTTCAGAGATTATTGAAAAATATATAATTTCATACATCAAGTAATAAAAAAGACAAGAAAGAAAACAACAGTAGAACCTCATTTTCCATCTTCTTCCTCTCTAGATTTGCTTCAGTAAGTTTATGCTGGAGCTTCTGTTGCTCTTTGGCAATGCACCTAATTTGGGAATCACATTCTTTCAACCTTGAACGAATCAAATTGAGCTCCGATTGGGCATGATCAAGATCATTTTTTATCAAAATAACCTGCAAGGAAGGTGAAAGCATTAAATCTTTATCCTTTTCAATAATTTCTAAAAAATCACCATTTATACCTTGTTTTTATGTTTATCAACATCTGATGCAAGACTGTCAATTTGGGTCTCAAAGCAAGCCAATTGATTCTCTAAGGATGCATGCTCCTCTATAACTGCTTCTTTTTCCATAATCAGCCTCTCTCTTTCATTTTCGTGACCCTATTAGCATGCAAGACCAAGTTACAACAACATAAATAAGTCACTGCTTTTCCAAACACCACCAGCTAAGAAAGTAACAGACTAGGCTGTCCTGGACAGATGGGACTAACCCAGACAGCATATTATGAGCCCAGAGGTTCACCACAAATTTATAGGCCTGACGGTGTACGATTATCAAAATACAGGCACTCTTAATAAATAGCCCAGTTTGGGGCTCAAAGTTTACAGGAAAATAAGAAAAAGCAGGCTTGAACTAATGAAATGGGCAATGCACCCAATGTTAGGGACACAGTTCAAAGTAAACTTGATTCAGACACAAAAATATGGAAAGAATGCATAGAGAGAAATCAGTTTTCTCATAAATCTGTCCAATTACAATTTGTAATTTTGGCTTGTATTAATAGGGCCAATTCCAATAATCTGATCGGGATCATCTTTAGTCCTGAACCCTGTGCCTCATGAAATATGAAATCCAACCTTTTAGGTGGATGGAACTCAAAATTCCGAGTCCAACGGTACCAAGACCGTCCAATTCCGACACCATTAACCCCTCTATCTTGAGACCCGATGCTAGACTCAATCCGGGCCTTCCGTTTGGAAGCCCCTTTACTACAACTTCAAGCCTAGGGCATCCCATGACCAAACCTTTCCCCCAACCTCTAGAACTATCTTAAAATCCATGATTTGACCAGCAAGGAGCAGGGGTGTCAACGGTATTCGAAAATCCGTTTTCGAATTCGATATTCGACATAATCGAATCGAATTCGGATAATTTGAATATCTAACCGATCAAATTCGGATATGACCTGATTTGATTCGATAAATATCCGAATTTGATCGATTATTTAATTCTTATATATAATATATAAAATTTTAAATGTTTTATTTAACATATATAATAATTAAATTATATAAATAATTTATATGTTTATATACTTTATATAAATAAAATATTTATTTTATATATTTATTAATTACCTAGAATAATTAATTAGTCAAATTCAAATCGAATCGAATACTCGAATATTTAATCGAATTCAAATTCGAATATTAATTTTCGATATCAAACCGAATTCGGATATCGAATTTTTTAATCGAATTCGAATTCGGATATTGCCTTATCCGATTCAAATTCAATATGTTTACACCCCTAGCTAGGAGCCTCCAATCAATTAAGCCAATCACCTAAACTTGGAATGTCCAATTTAGGTGAACTAGTAAAATCTTCCACTCATTGTCTTGATTGATTAAGAGGATCTCTCCCAAAGCTGTCTTGACAGCCCACTCTCAATTAATCTCCCTCCAAAAACCCTTTTAAACCTCAGCCTTTGATCTCCCATGTCACCCAATCTCAGCCCTTCATTCCCTTTTAGAATCCTCCCCAAAAATCTATAAATACCACCCCCTTCTCACATTCTAGACACACAATTCAAGCTTAAGGAGAGAGCTCTACCCTCCATTAACCTAGAAAATACCCCCCTTCACGTCCCAAGTAGCTCAACACCCATTACCCACTCTCTCTATCTTTCCCCATGACCAAAGTCAACCGGATTCCTCAACCATTTACTAGAAGACCCTCTTAGAGAAAAATTATACACACGCCCTTTGAATCCGTTTAAATTTTGAAGATCACATAGTGCTGCAACGTATCGAACCTCCAGTGGTGTTTCCTTAGTTGGGGTACATTCAGGCATTCCTCTACCCTAGACACCCTTCCACCGGTAGTGAACTGATAAGAGACACAAGGACAGTCTCCATGGCTTTATCTACATGATGGATTTTTGATGATCAAAGTTGAGACCTCCATTTGTTAAATCTATGGAAGGAAATGCAACAACTCTCGCCAATATTCAATCAGTTCAACATGCAATGTGGAGGGAAGTTTCCTTCAAGGACGCTCTAGACATATCGCATTATTCAMTTTAACGTTTAATTTTTTTTTTGTTTGGTCAATTTTAGCCATTCTATTTTCTACATTAAAATTTCTTTGTCATCCGTAGATTTTTTTTTACTTCCACTTATCAAATTTTGTTTATCTTTTTTTTCTCTTGCTAAGTAGTTAGGTAGGATCAGTTTTTAATCTTCTTTTCTTGTTAAGTAGTTAAGTAGGATCAGTTTGTATTATCTAGTTTTCTAAACTTCTTAGTCAATTATTATTTCAGTGCTAATTCAAGTATTTTTAGTATCATTTAGTTCAGCATGTGTTAGTAAAATAGCTTTTTTTAATTGTTTTTCTTACTACATATGCATGCATGCATCCAACTCATTTGAATCATTATAAGTTCATCGTAGATTTGGTTCCCAAATATTCCACACTAGGCTCTATCTCATGGCTCATTGTTTTCTTCTTCTTATTGAGTATAAAATTTATTTGTTTCAACTAATAAGTCTGCAATCATTAGTGTTTCACCCTAAAACACCCATCAGTTTAAATCATTTGAATTGCATAGTTAACCTGTCCTAGCTTGTTCATTGAGTCCTTTTCTTTTTGTAATTTTCAGCATATAGAGCAATTGTACGGTCATTACAATGCAAACAAAACATTAGGTTGTTACTTTCTTTTTCACCAAATCATTAGCTAGAATCTCTCTTGTTATTTTATGTTTTCCTTTCACAAGTATTGCAATTTTGAATCGTTGATTCCATTGTCATAGAACTTTCAATTCTTTGATTTGGTATTATTTTAGCAATTCTCTCTCATGTTAAACAGTTTAGATGGTTTTATAATCATTTAGTTATCTTATTTTCTTCTTACATGTTAGTTTATTTTGCTTAATGGATAGTAAAGATTGCTACTTCATAAATTTTCTTTTGTGCATTTCTTCTTAAGCCCAAAAATAATAAATTCTTCCTTGGAACATTCGTAAAGTTGAGGCTAGTTTAACCAGGCATGTGTGGGGTGCCTAACACCTTCCCACACCATACCTTCGTCCCCGGACCCTAAGAATCTCATCCTTCATTGGATAACGAGTCACCAAGAAAACAAAATGTTTTTCTTGCAAAAATCCTGGGTTCCCTAAATTCCCAAAAATTTAGGTGGCGACTCCACACCATACTCCATTCTGTCCCCCCTCTAGATCAGGTAGCCACACCAGCCATCTAAGAACAAGAATAGCTATCTGTATTTCATCAGTTTTCATGAACGACTATTCAATCAAATTAAGCTCTTAAATGCTTGCTCCCAATCAAATAATAATAAAATTATTTAGAATGGAAAAAATTTGAGTCTTCAAAATTCAAGTTTCTCTATTCAGTTGTGATTAAACTTTTAAACTCCTACTAGGGGTGAGCATGGGTTGGTCCAGTTCAGTTCCAAGGCAAAACCTGTAACCTACCTTATAGGGGTTAGTTAAAGGTTTTTGGAACGAGAACCTACATTGTCAAGATCGGTTCCAAGGTTTTACCCATGGAACTAGTTCTTTATAAAAAAATAAAAATATCACAATTATAAAATGTTTAAACCATAGTTTTCAAGGCACCAGGGTGGGGTTAGGCAATAGGGGGCACCTTGTCACCTAGGCACCTGCTAGGGTAGTTTCCAAGGTTCCATAACCATATTTCCTTTATAGTTGTCCACTATTTCCATAAGTATGAACTCCATAATAAAGTATAGAAAATCAACATATTCAAGAAAAGAAAAAGAAGAAAGAAAAGAAAATTCAAAAAATAAGAAAATAAAAAGAAAATGTGTTGACTAGCATTTAGCAATATTTGTGTTGATTAAAACCCAACAAATAAGAAAATAATAAAGAGAAATTAGTACATAAACATACAAAATGAATAATTTATTTTAATAATGTCTATTTTATAACTATAATCTCAAAAAGTTATGAGACAAAAAATATTTTATAACAAAACATACAAAATTGCTTGGCGATTAGGCGACGCAAGCCTCCAAGCGCGCCTTGTCACCTAGGCATCACCTTGACAACTATATTAAAACTTGATTTTCAATAATGATAGTTCAAATCTTAATATTACCTTTATTGATATAATTGAGTAATTTAATTTGCAAACTATAATAATATATTAATATCTAGTTCACAACTTGTCATAATAACTTAAATTTTGTAAACGTTACCTTATACATTACTTATTATACACATTTAAAGTATCCAGTCCCACCAACACCAACCAGGGTTGGTCCCCTAGGTGGGCTCAAGTAGGTTAAACCCCTAGACCCTAGACCCGCCTGTGTGGGGTTTACTCCAAGAATTTGGAAACAAACCCTACCCAGTAACATGTTGGGGGGTTGGTTCAAGAAATGATTTAAAAGCCATCCCTAAGGTGCATAATTTGTGCCCAGGGATGGACAAATTAGATGCATTCTCTACAAAGTGTATCTTTTTGGGCTACTCTTGGACACAAAATGGCTATAAGTGTTATCATCCATCCTCCCAATGTTCCTTTGTGTGTCTCACCTTCTTTGAGTCTATTCCATTCCTTACAAGTAGTGATAATCCTCCTTCATCCCCTATGGTTCCTCTTCTAGCTCCTATTGCTGACCCCATTCCTCTTCATCCTGTTGCTCCTACATCTTCGTCTCCTCCATTGCAAGTTCCTAATTAGCGACCACCCATCAGGCACGTATATACGCATCAACAGGTACCAACTCCTCCAGTTTCTTCTCCGTCGACAGATCCGACAGTTGTTCCTAACCCTATGATGCCTTCTTCGTTTGACCTTGATCTTCCCATTGCCTTACATAAAGGTAAATGTAGCTATACTTTGCGTCATATTTCTAACAATGTTTTTCTTTCAAATCTTTTTGCTTCCTATTCTCAACTTGCTTTCCTTTTGTCTACTGTTTCTATTCCCAAGAATGTCCAAGTCTCCAAGAAGCTATTACCTCCCCAGAGTGGCGCAAAGCAAAGGAAGAGGAACTCTAAGCACTTGACCATAATCACACATGGGAGCGCACAAATCTTATGCCTGGTAAGCATGTCGTAGGTTGTAAGTAGATTTATATAGTCAAATATCTACCAGATGGGAGCATTGAGCACCTAAAGGCTAGGTTGGTGGCCAAAGGGTACTCTAAGTTATATGGTGAGACTATACAAAGACATTCTCTCTTGTTGCCAAGTTTGGCTCAGTTCGTGTGTTGATATCCTTAGCAGCTATGTTTGATTGGCCTCTATATTACCTTAACACTAAAAATAGCTTTCTACATGGTAATCTTAGTGATGAGGTGTATATGGAGCAACCACCAAGGTTTGTTGCTCAAGGGGAGAATAGTAAAGTGTGTAGACTTAACAAGGCAATTTATGGGCTGAAACAATCTCGGTGTGCCTAGTTTGGTATATTCAATGAGGAAATTAAAGACTTTGGTATGAAGCAATGTTAGGTTAATCATTTAGTGTTCAATTATGATTCTGAAGCTAGAAAGGTCTTGCTGGTGGTATATGTCAATGATATTGTCTTTACAGGTAGTGATAAGTTGGGTATTGATAAATTGAAGGCTTTTTTGCATGATCACTTTCAGACAAGATTTTGGCAAGTTGAAATACTTACTAGGTATAGAAGTTGCAAGGTTGAAGCATGGCATAAATTTATGTTAGAGGAAATATGTGCATGACTTGTCARAAGAGACAAGATTGTTGGGTAGTGGGTACTAAACCAGTCAAAAAGCTTATAGAACCAAACACCAAATTAAGCACTAATGCAAGCGAAGAATTTGATGATCCTAGGAGGTATAGGAGGTTAGTAGGTAAGTTAAATTGTTTGACTATTGTCCGGCCAGACATTTTCTTTGTAGTGAGTGTAATTAGCCAATTTAAGCAAAAGCCTTGGGTTCCCCATTGGAATGCAGTTCTAGGGATTGAACGGTATCTGAAAGGGGCTCCAGGTCGTGGAGTATTATACAAATCAGAAGGAAGTCTTGAAGTAGAGGGCTATACAAATGCAGATTGGATCTGCTCACTGTCTGATAGAAGGTCTACTACAGAGTATTATACCTTTCTTGAAGGAAATCTAGTAATGTGGAAAAGTAAGAAACAAACAATGGTAGCAAGAAGCAATGTTGAAACTGAATATAGAGCTATGGCACACACAACCTATGAGTTAGTGTGGTTGAAAAACCTTCTCCATGAGAATGGATATACTCTCAACAATCCTATGAAGTTGTATTGCGACAATCAAATTGTTGTTCTCATTGCATCTAATCAAGTCTTCCATGAGAAAAAAAAAAACACATTGAAGTCGATTGTCACTTTGTAAGAGAAAAAGTGCTAGTTGAGTGATAAATACAGTACATGTGAATACAAGAAGTCAGAGGGTTGATTTGTTCACAAAAGGGTTGAGTCAGGGAAAGGTGGACCATATATGTAACAATCTGGGATTATATGATACATACTCTCCAGCTTGAAGGGGAGTATTAGAGTCAACAATTTAGGTGCATTTGAATCATTTTAGAGTAATTTATTCTAAGTTGTTTTGTTTATTATGTTTGAGATTGAATAGTGTCCCATACTTAAAGAGGGGCACAAAGGTCATTGTACCCTGATTAAAAATCTATATATATACTATTCAAGTCAGCTAGAGTAAGTAATTTTTTCCCTCTTTTAGGAACAGCCAAACCATCTCTTCATCTTCCTCTCTCTTCTCTTCTCTTCTCTTCTCTTCTTTTCTCTTCTCTTCTCCTTTCTCTTTGTTTCTCTCTCTATTTTTCCCTTTATTTTAGGAAGGAAATCAGGTCAGATCTAATATCTAACAATATGTTAGATTTTATTTTTAAATTTTCATTTGAATATGCTTTACATGTTAGGCTTATGTATTTTGTTTTTAGATAACAGGTTTTTAAAACATTTATTTTAAAATTTATGTTTATATTTTTTATTCTAATTATGTTTAATGTTTTTAGCATTTTTTGGCATTTTTTTATTTTTTGACATTTTTTTAAAATTTCATCATTTTTTGTATATTTGCACCTTGCTTCAAAAAGGTGTGTGCCTCGCCTTGCGCTTTTAAAACATTGGGTTCAAGTTTGGTTCCAGTTGATTCCAAGCATGGTTCAAAATATCGATACACCTCTATGCATCGAAAAAGGCATATCGGTACTTAGATACACACAAAAACCTTTTTTTTTTTGTTTTTTTTTTTCAGAATTTGGTTTTTGGGGATATTTAACCATGTATTTTTTTATTAAAAAGAGTGGGGTCCCAAAACACCTGTAAACAAGTGTATCGGAACCAAAAGGTATCAGGTGTATTGTATTTTTTTGAACCTTGATTCCAAGTAGAACCTACCCATTTGCTCACCATAACACCTACCTCAACAATAATCAAGTTGTATCAGACCAGACCAGATTAATATGATTAAGAGTTGTTATGGTTCTAGGTCTAAAATTGCAGACCCTATGCGATCTGGCTAAGGACAGGGACGTTTTTTTTTTTTTTATCAATAACATCATTTTCATCAAATTAAGAGAAGAGAGGGAATAAGTATACAAAGGGGGAGATAAAATAACTTAGMTCCCCCAAAACAGAAAACACAGGGAATGCAAAGAAAAATATTAAAAACTAGCCCAAAAAACAGCCTCCCTATTCACTCCTTGCTTGGCCAACCCATACGCAAATGAGTTGGCACTCCTYTTCACCCAGCTGTACTGAATCTCAATGTCCCTACCCAGCCATAAGAACTGTTTTTTTTTTCATTGTTAATGTTCCACAAACCACTGTCCTCTGTCTTCAACCAACTAATATTGTCTTATCAATTCGGGGTGGTTCTACCCTATACCAAATCAGACCTGATTTTTTTGCTAATATTGTCTTATCACTCGCTTACCCGTGTGGAGTAAAACCCCATTCGTTGCTAATATTGTCCATTCATTCTTCTTTATATTAAGACAGTTTTTAGGAGGTAGGAAATATAGTTCAAATTAAAAAACCATTTTCTATATACAGGTTAAGAATTTAAGACACTAACACAGGCTTGTTTGGGCTTGCCTCGAGGGACTCAGGGCAAAGCAACTCGTACAACTAGAGTAATGCAATTAGGAAAGAAATAAAGAGATTGAAAGTTTCATGTGCTTGAATTGCTTGAAGATGTGTCATATGCTATGCATAACTTTTTAAATTTTTACTTTTTTTGTGGAAACTCTTGCATTTTAGCTTTGAATATGTTTTATATGTTATATTTATGAGTTTTATTTCGATGTAATAATTTTTTTAAAGCATTTAGTTTTAAACTTAAGTATGCATTTCTAATTAATATTATTTTAATTTTTTTTGCAGTTTTCTGATTGCATTTTGATACTTTTGAAAATTTTGTACCTCTCTTCAATAAGGTGTGCACCTTGCCTTGCACCTTGGGCCCAAAAACGACCTTGCGTTTTTTTTTTTTTTTTTTTTTTTTTTTGCGCCATGAGCTTTTAAAACACTGGTCTTCCATAACAAAATGAATGCATTTCAAACTTTAAAGCAGAAAAGACCTTCATGGTGCTTATCTCATCATGTTTGCCCACTGTGAAAAGCTAACAAATAAAATTCTTTACATCTGCTAATCTCTTACAGCTTCATATCTACTATTTAGGAGCACTTTTTCTTGTTGTTTGGGTGCAGGCAGACACCTCCTAATGGCATCAAACATTTGTTTAATGTTTCCTTCTTCAATTCTCCAAAAAGGAGGGAGAATCTTATGGAAGTGCATAAGAGCAGCTATTTTATAGTGTATACTGGAAGAAAGGAATGTTCAAATCTTCAATGACAAAGAAAATGATCTAAGAAATACCATAGAACTTTGAAGGATGCAGCAGAGGTAACCAGGGCCCATCGGGTATAAGAGTGACTACAAATCATTTGGGTAGGTATGAAAAGGGGTAAACTATAAGATACAGTAATCTAGTTATTGATGGGGACTCAAAGATCACAACAGACTGGCAGGGAAGCAGTGAGAATGGTCCATGGAAGCATAGATATGAGATCAGAGAGGCAAAAGAATTGACCAAAGATCAGGGAGTCATCATGAAATGGATACCAAGGTCTGCAAACAATTTAGCAGATGGACTGGCAAAACAGAGAGTGACAAGGAATATATTGGGGTATTGTATACCAGGGGAATTTGGACTTGATACAGCTTACCACAAGGAAAGTCAATGCTGCCCTTCCTGTAACTGCTACGTATATAAATGCATGAGAATGCAGTGCAATTAGGCTGTGTTTGGTTGCAGTGCAATTTTATTTGCACTAGTACAAATGCATGAGAATGCAAATTCTCGTTAAATTTGTTTTGGGTTCTACTTTATTTTGCTCTATCTTTTAATTTACTCCATTTGTATTGCAATCAAACAAAATAAGCTAAAGTTTGAAACAAAAATAGGTCAGAATTTACATTCAAATCATTTGCATTGCCATAGTTTTCCATCAATACAAATTTATTTACATTGCAACAAACACAGCCTTGGTGATAAAAAATAGTAATAAATTACAGTAATTTCAGACTTGTACCTTGAGGTCCCTTGAAGCTGACTGCATCTGAGCTTTCGTTGTATTAATCTTTTTCTCTAAATCCTTCAGTATGCTATCTCGTTTATGAGAATGCTCCTTGATTGATTTTTCAAGCAATGATACAGTAGATAAACAGTTATCATAAAGAAGCTGTTTCTCTTTTTCTTTCAATTTTGCTTCTTCAAGCTCCAGCTCCATCTTTTTCACTAATTCACCTAGCTGTGGAACATTAAAAGAAAGATGAAATGGTTAGCATCCAAATCAAAAGCAGGTCATGGTAACCATAGAAAGATAAATCTAGAGTGATTTAAAAGGTGGTGCTCAGGCAAGGCACATTTTATGCTATGCACCTCACCCAGGCCCCAGCACAGCACTTTCAAAGCGCATTAGACTGATATTCCTTGCACTTCAGCCCAGGTGTGTGCCTTTTCGAAATTTGCTCTTTTTTTCTATTTTTAATGCCCAGTAGTCAGGCCAGGGGCTCCACCTCTAGACCCCTGAAGCTCTGAGAACCACATAATTGTAAATGTTGTCTTTTTATCCAACATAATTGCTAATATTGATTTTTCAATTATCCTAATAAAAGATGTTTTTGGAAGACACTTAAAATTATAAAACCATTTTCTGTAGAGGTTAAGAATTTAAGACCTTAACACAGACTTGGGTGGGGCAATGTTTTAAAACGCGGAGGGCTGATGTGAGGCATTCCACTACCTAGAGGCATAAGGCATAGTTCAAAACGTAAGAGGCATAAGCCTCCTTAAGAGGAGGGGAATGAGGAGGAAGGAGGAAGAAGACGAAGAAAAATGTCATTTTTCTTTATTTTTAATAAAATCTTTTATATTAAGAAATACGAAGATGCTTAGCCCCCGGTCCACTTTCTTTCCCTTATCTTCCCTTTTCTTTTCTTTTTTCTCTTTTTTTCTTCTCTTCATTTCTTTTTCTTCCCCTTCACTTTCTTTTCCTTTCCTTTCCTTTCCTTTTTTCCTTTTTTCTGTCTTTTTACATGAGGTGTGCATGAGGCACATGAGGCTTACGCCTCTAGCATGCCTCATGAAAAATGCGTTTGAGGCATACATCTCAGAGGTGTCAACACCTCTGGCATACGCCACCTATGCCTTTAAAAACACTGGTTTGGGCTTTGCCTCAAGGGGCTTGGTACAAAGACGGCTCATAGAATTAGGAATGAAATATTTAACATCACAATATCTATTTGAAATAATGAAATTGGAAATCAAATAAAGAAATTGAAGTTTGGCATGCTTGAGTATATTTTGTATGCTTTTTTTATTTTATTTTTGAATTTTCACTTTGAATATGCTTTATATGGTATCTCTATGTATTTTAAATTGAGTTATTAGGCTTTTTCAAACATTTAGTTTAAATTTTTTAATTAATACTATTTCTAACATTTTCTTAATTTGATTTTGAATTTTTTAAATTTTTACATTTTTTTCAATTTTTTGGAAAAGGCACATACTTTGCCTTGCGCTTTGGGCACAAAATGACCATTGCGCTTTTCTTGCACCTTGCATTTTCAAAACACTGTAATACTGCCAAAAAATGTTTTAGATTGAAATTATGCTTCAATTTCTTGTCAAAGAAACTGATTATGCTAGCAATGAACTGAAACAATAAAAAAAAAAACATCAGCCATAAAAACAAGCACAACCTTATGATGTTCATTTTGCTCTGCTCTACTCTGGAATAGTGAAAGATCATATAGCTTTAGTTCCAATTGTGATTTAAGATCCAAGAACTTTTTCTGCAGTGGCGAAAGCTGTGCAATCTGCAAAAAAAGCCAAAAATATTGTGATAGCTATTTAAGAGGAAGAAAAAGTAACTATTGAATCAGAAGTATGGATTTTGCTTGCATGAGGTTAAAGTGCCACCTAAACAAGAAAATCAGGTAATTAGGAGATTATGGCAGTGGAAACCTAGTACACACATAAAAGCAAAAATAAAATATAACAAAACGATGGTGTCAAGAATACTGTTCAATAGGATTTTTTTGCTTGACAAAAGAATCATTTCCATCCAGAGCTCTAAAGGAATATTCCACAAACTTGTGCACTATGGATCCTGATTTTAGTAAGATAGAAGAAAAGAAGAAGAAGAAGAAAAGAGAGAAGAGGGACAAGAGAAGAGGAAGAAGGGAAGAAAAAGTTGAGAGAGCCAAAAAGTTACGTTGGCAGCGCCAGACTTTGTATTTATAGATTAGGGTGATCATACAATATAAAAAAGAAAGAAAAAGACCAAAGTGCCCCTTGCAGCACATAACTAATTTTGCATCACTCCCACTCAAGTTAGGACATAGATGTCAATCATCCCCAACATATCACACAGATTATAATGTTGTAATGAGTTTAATCCTTTCTCAAGCTTCTCCCTAATAAAATGTTTGTTAACTTCAATGTTCTTGGTTCTATCATGGACAACTGGATTTGGTTGCAATTTGGATAGCCGCTTTATTATCACAATAGAGTGGCATTGGGTCATCAAAGTGAAAGCCCAATTCACCTAATAGGTTCTTGATCCACAATAACTCAGCAACTCCATGTGGCATGGCTCTATATTCTGCGTCTGCAACAGATTTGGCTACCAAACTCTATTTCTTACTTCTACAAGTAACAAGATTTCCTCCTATAAAGGTACAATAGACATTGGTGTACTTCCTATCATCCACAAAGATGGTCCAATCAGCATCAGTGTAAACCTCAACTCTCATGTGACCATGCTTCTTGAAAAGAAGACATGTCCGAGGGAATTTCTTCAAATATCTAAGCACCCTGTCTACTACTTCTAGGTGTGCTGCCATGGGAGCATGCATGAACTGATTGAGAACTCCCACAACATATACAATGTTGGGCCTAGTCATAAATAGACTTGTTCATGGACCTGTGAGCCCGACGACGCGGCCTGGCCCGACCCGTTATTTTTTGGGCTTGGACAAAATTTCAGGCCTGCAGACTTGGGCTCGAGCTTTAAATACCAGGCCCGATCACTTTTTGGGCCAAATTCGAGCTTTCTCAAATAAGTCCAGCCAGGGCCCAAGCTCAGCCCAATACTAATACATATAATAAAAAGTACTTATGTTATATATAATATATATTTGTTTCTTAAATTATTAATAAATACTAATTTACTATTAGGAAATTCAAATTTGTTTATTAATTTATTAAATTATTACTAAATTAATATAATATTAGTTTATAAAAGTACACTGAAAATAAGACATTTTGTGTACAGATCGGGCTTTGGGCTCAGGCTCGGGCTTGGGCTTCAAGGTTTATATAAGGGTTGGGCTTGGGCTCAAGATCTAGGTCAGATGGTTAGGTCAGGCTCTGGCTCAGGCTCAGGCTCAGGCCTGCACATTTTCTATTAATAAAGAGGCAAAGCCCGGCCCATGAACAGGTCTACTCATAAATAAATAAAGAAGTTTACCTAGAAGTCTTTGGCACTACCTTGGATCTTTCAAGGGCTCACCATTACAATCCCTAAGTTTGTGATTCACATCTATAGGAGTATCAACCGGTTTGCCTCCAAGTTTTCCTATGTCTTTCAAGAGATTCAGGGTGTACACTTTGAGCAATGAGATACCCTGTTGGGAGCGGGCAACTTCAATTCCAAGGAAGTAGTGCAATGGTTCTAGATCCTTCACTTTAAACTGTGTATCCAGGAACTTCTTTAATCTTTGTATCTCTGAGACCCAGTCACCAATGATAACAATGTCATCCACMAAGTAGAAGATCAAGATTGTAATCAGTCTTGAATCCTAATAGGTTTTAGGTTTACAAAACAGAAGAAAAGGAGAGAAAATAGAAGAGAAACAGGAGAACACAAGTGGTTGAAAGGAGGGACAAATTCTTACTGATCTGCCGCCGCCACTTTCTTATTAATTATAGGTTATGCTTAGTACATAATGGAAAGGACACATCTGCCCTTGGTACTTACATAATAAATAAAGTAAATAAAAGCTGAAATAAATAACAACTGAATTAACAAACTGACTCAAACTGACACTACTATAACTGGAATAAATAACTACACATGCTGTCCTACGAACACAGTGGGGACCACTGCAGTGGGGCCCACATCAGTGTTCTCTGCACACAAAAACAATCAAAGTGGTTGTTTTCCCTTGTTCCTACTTTACAAAGAATGTATGATCAAATTGGTACTGCTTAAACCCCATTTGTTGTGCTTCCTTGTGGATCTACTAAACCAAGCCCTCAGTGACTGTTTTAGGCCATATAAGGATTTCTTCAATTTGTAAACTTTCTATTTGCTACCCTTAGCACAAAATCCAAGAGGTTGAATTATGCATACTTCCTACTCCAAATCACCATTCAAGAGGGCACTTTTAATGTCTAGTTGATGAAGCTCCCAGTCAAGCTTTGTTGCTAAAGAGAGAAGAACACAGATAGAATTCATTACCACTGAAGCAAAAGTCTCAACATAATCAACCCCATACACCTATGTAAATCTTTTTGCTACCTACCTAGCCTTGTATTTCTCAATCCTACCATTTGTCCTATGTTTTACAGAGAACACCCATTTACACCCCACAACTCCCGTGTGCCATTTTTGTATAGGGCATTGATTTCTTCCTTCGTAGCCTCTGTCCACTAAGGAAGAAGTAAAACCACAACAACACTCTTGGGGAGAGGAACATTGTCAATGGTAGATACTAAAGCACGAAATGAGGGTGAAATACTCTCATTGGACAAGAAATGGGCCATGGGGTGGTGTGTGGTATATGATCTAACCCCATTCCTTTTTGCAATAGAAAGGTCCAAACCATAATTTGAGGTGTCAACATCAATGGGTTCATGAGTTTCAACTAGAATAATAGTACTTGGGTGTTGATAGCGCTCTAGCCTCTAAGAATCCGATGGCATTGGTTGCATAGTTTCCAATTACTCCTAGCTATTGAACTCTATTGGCCTTGGCTTCTATAACGTTGTCTCCAAAGACACAGTGGAGGAGGCTCAAGAGGAGAAGGCAATAACACTTGTGTTTGTTTCTATTTCTCCTCACCTAGACTCTCCCCATAAGGGGAAACAGGAAAATAGGAATCATCAACAAAGAAAAAGACATTCATAGAGAAAATATTCTTTAGAAATAGTATCAAAGCAACGATAACCTTTCAAGGAAAGAGGGTATCCAAGGAAAACACACATAATAGCCTTGGGATCAAGCTTGCCATGAGTAGGAGATAGATCATGAACAAAGCATTCACACCCAAACACATATAGAGGTATGTGATACATTGGGGCCTTAAGAAAGAAAAACTGATGGGGAGACCTATATTCCAATAACTGAGATGACGTTCTGTTAATAACATAAGCAGCAATCATAATAGCATCCAACCAAAATCTTTTTGGAACATGCATTTACAACAACAATCCATGAGCAACATCTAGAAGATGGCAATTTTTTCTCTCGACAGCCCCATTTTATTGAAAGGGGTTCTAGCACAAGAGCTCCAATGAAGAGAGCCACACTAAGCAAAGAAATTGATGAGGCCACCATTAAAGTACTCCTTGGCATTCTCTAATTAAAAAACTTAAATCTCTATCTGAAATTGGGTGTAGACCATCCGTTGAAAACCATTCATGAGTTTGGGGACTTCTTCTTGTGAATGCTTAGGGTAAACCCAAGTATACTGAGAAAAGCCATCAATAAAGGAAAAAATGTATTTATTACCATGCTCAGTTACAATATTAATAGGTCCCCAAACATTAGAATACACAGTGTCAAAAGGAAAATCTGATCTTTTATTACGTGAAGGAAATGAAGTTCTACAATGATTAATCAATTGAAACACACTAAAAATCATTGGCTGACACAGACTTAAACAAATCTGGAAACAAATACTTCAAGGACTCAAGACATTTGGCCCAAACGTTGGTGCCACAAAATGACTTGACTCTTACTTGACTGACTCAAAGACCCTAAGACCACAAGGCCGGATTTATTCTCCAGCACATAGAGACCATCAACCATGAGCCCTCTACCAATCATCTTCCCGGAGCCAAACAAGACCGGCTTTACTAAGCTGTTCYAGGCATGTATAGTATTGCTAACAGACAACAAGTTAATGGACAACTTTGGAACATGTAAAACATTTGATAATGAAATGCCAAAAGGCAAAGATATAAATCCCCAACCAGCAATGAAAGAGAATGATCCATCAACTAATCTCACTTTATCTTCGTAGAACGAAGAGTGAAGGATTGAAAAAAGGTTGACTTACTAGTCATATGTTGGAGGCACCGGAATTAATAACCTCACTTCATCTATTTGTCTAATAGCACAACCATATTGCTCCAAATGGCCACGAAAGGATTTGATAATATCCTCCTAGATATCAAAACCCAAGGGGGAAAGGATCCTGAAGAGAACTCATGGTACAAAAACCACTTTGAGGCTCATGAGATGCATGGTTGGCCGAGGTGAAGAAGCTTCTTGTTTTGTTTTTGTATTCATTTCTTGCTTAGTTCATGTGCCCAGTTTGGTTCCCCGTGCAATTTCAAACATGTCTCACGGGTGTGCTTGGAATTTTTACATTGAGTACACCACATTTTATCTTTATCATCTACCTTTTTCTAATTTTCCCTCTTTCTTGTTGAACTGGTTACTTATCATAGCTAAAGCCATGGTCTTCCCCTTAGAAAGATTCATACCAGACCTCCTACTTTCCTCAGACTGAACCAATGCATACACCTCATGGACAAAAAGGAGATCCTTGCAGCGCAAAATCAGTACCCAAATGGGCTCATACATGGGGTTAAGGCTAGGTAAAAAAAGCAAATACTATTGCTGGGAAACCAACTGTTTATAGATTAGGGCAACCATACAATATAAAAAAGAAAGAAAAAGAACACAGTGCCATTTGCGGCATATAACAAATATTACATCAAATCCCGACATTGTTTTCAAGGCGTCTAGGCGATTCTGGGCGACACTGGGGCGCCTAGTCGCCTAGGCGATAAAAATTTTATAATATGAAAATTTGACTTTTGGCTAGTTACCTAGTTTTATATACCATTCAGCATGTATGTTAATTGAAAAATAACAATTCTCTTTATTATGAACATTAAATTTCCTCTAAAAATGTGGCAAATCATAACATCTAAAAGATAAAAATCTTTTACATATATTAATTTCATTATTTTCAAAAGTAATACTACTATAATAAGTATTTAATAGAACAAATTCACAATAATTAGCAGCTAAAGAAGGTTATTAACTTTATATGATAAATATTCAAGATGGAAAGTAAAAAAGAAAAAAAAAACAAGGATTGAGTTTCTATTTTATTTAATTAGAGAGAGAATAGAAAAAAAGAACTTTATTATTCTATTGTTACTTTCCCCTATCTTTTCTTTTCTTTCTTTCTTTCTTTCTTTCTTTTTCTCTTCTTAAAACCCTTCGATCTTTTAAATTTCAATAGTAAAACAATAAAACAAAATATAATTGATATATATAGCATATAATAAAATGTACTAACACATACATTAATAAGATACAACAATATAAATGATATTATAAAAGGCGCTTGCCTTGTCACTTTTGTCGCCTAGCCAGGCGCTTAATCGCCTAGTCGCCTAGAAGGGTGCCTAGTTGCTAAAAGTCAAGGCATTTGGGCGAGGCACCCAGTCAAGGGTGCCTAGTCACCTAGGCGACACCTTGACAACTATGAATCCCGATATATGTTCCAAAAACATAAGAACCCCAATATAGTAAAATTTAATCAAAACAAAAGTTGAACGTAATAAATGGTGTCGTACTTGTCTAAGAGACAAAGAGTAGTCACCCAAGACAATCCAAGTCAACAAGCCCATTACTAAGACAAGATAAATTTGAAAAGGTTGACATACAAATAATTTTCAGGAGGAATTCTGACCAACCATCACCAAAAACAACAGATCAGAAGTCAAGGATATCTATCTACCAAAACTGCAGGCACAGAGGCAACAAACTGAACTTTGATGGAACGGATTGAATTACTAGTCAATAACATTTGAATATGTTAAATAAGATCTATTGGTGTCTGCCACATGCATGTATGGACAGCAAAATATCCCTTTCAAGCACAATAAGTACCATAAAATACGAACCATAAAGATTCACCTTGGTTTCAATTTCCGATAACCTCTTTTGATGAAAAGAAAGCTTATATTCAGTCTCTACCAATGCATGAAGTTGCCTTAGCAATTCACCGCTACCTCTGCAAGCATAAGTTGAAGCTCATTATAGATGCAAAGCGCCAATTCAAAAGTGCTATAATGATAAATTAAAAACAATTGTTAAGACATTTTACAGTTGAGAAAGTTTGTTATATTTGACACATAATGTTTTTTTACAATAATTTTACTTATTATGGAAAACCGCAGTACAAACTCTCTCATCTTAAATCTAAATCCCTGCAACAAAGTAGTGGTCTCTCTTTTTTTTTTTGATAAATAAGTAGTGCTCTCTCTTTGCAACCATATTCTCTTGTATAGATGATCTTCCCGCTTCTTGTTGTCTAATTCTTGGTGACCAGAATCTTTCCTCATAATCAAACATCAGATCTGCAGTAGTATAACCTCCTCAAAATCAGCTGTATTCTCTTATATTAGGGATAACCTCCCTCACCCACACTCCCTCCCTCCTTCCCACATAATTAACAATGACAACCAACCAACCCCTCCTTCCCTCCTCTACAGTTTCTCATTCACAATCAGCATTAGATCTGCAACAATAGAAACAGTTCTCGAAATCATTTTTTATCAATTGCACCAAGGTAAATCTGATTTGACTTTTGACATGGGCTAAAACTGCTAAAGAGACTCAGAGTCCGTTTACTTTGCAGTAGGAATTGGAATCAGAATCTGGAATGGTCCATTCCCATAGTATGTTTGGTTCAGACAGGAATGGGAATGGAAATTTAAATGAGCAGGAATAGGATTTTATTCCCAAGGGAGAGGCAGAGAATGACCATTCCCTCAAATGGGGGAATGCCGTTACAGCAGGAATGTGAATGGGATTCTGATTCCGCCCACCCAAACAGTTGGAATCAAAAAAGCCCATTCAGATTCCGGGTCCAAACCCCCATTCCTGTGAACCAAACGGGGCCTTAGCATCAAACCAAGGCCACCTACTCAAAGCAGAGACATTATACTAGAATATAGCAATTACAAGTCAAGTCTATAGTTTAAAAGCAAGGTGACAAGACATTATCTACATACTACTCCATTCTTATATCTACGTGAGGAGAATCAAATGATCATCAATCTACTGACTAGAAGAAGATGATAGGGCTAATAAGAAACTTCTCAGCCAACAGTGTGTGTTTGCTTTCCCTGCTGACCTTAATCCTAATCATGAACCTATTAGAGCTCAAAATTCAAATACTTGGGAGGTGAAGCGCATTTTAAGGTATGCACCTCGCCTAGGCCATAGGTGCAGCCCTTTCAAAAGGTGAACAACTGGTGCGCCTAATGCACCTTGCGCCTCATTCCAGGCATGTCCCTTTTGAAAATTTCACGCTTTTTGGTTTTTTGAACCTAGCAGCTAGATCAAGGGCTCTGCCCCCGGACCCCCTATTTGCTAACGTTGTTCATTCATTCGTCCTAATAAATATCTTCTTAAAAAGCAATTAAAAATGTAAAATCATTATTTTTTGTGTGAGAACTAAGAATTTAAGACCCTAACATGGACTTGTCCAGGCTTGCCCCGAGGGGCATGCCATAAAGGCAGCTTGTAGAATCAAGAATGTAATAAGTTTTGTAGTCCAACAAGGATAAAAAGAATAGAAGGAAGAGAGAAGAAGAAGAGAGAAGAAGAAGAAGTTCTATTCAGAAGATGAAGGTTGGCGGCTCCAAAGTTTGTATTTATACTTAGGGAAACAACTTATAACAAAATAAAGGAGGAAATACCAAAAATACCCCTATGCTAGTACATAACATGTTACAACACTCTCCCTCAAGTTGGAGCATATATGTCAATCGTGCCCAACTTGTCACACAATTCATTATGTTGCAAGTAGTGAAGACCCTTTGTAAGGACATCAACTAATTGTTCCTTGGAACTGAAGTAAGGAGTACAAACTTCCCCCTTTTCAAGTTTTTCCCTTATGAAATGCATGTCAATTTCAATATGCTTGGTCATGTCATGAAGAATTGGGTTGGCTGCAATACTAATGGCCGCCTTGTTGTCACAGTAGAGGACATTAGACCATCAGCAAAGAAGCCCAACTCTCCAATCAAGTGTTTTACCCATAGCACTTCAACAACTCCATGCACCATGGCCCTATACTCGGCCTCCGCCCTAGATCTAGCCACTACACYTTGTTTTTCGCTCCTCCAAGTGACCAAATTTCCACCAACAAAGGTACAATAACCACTAGTTGATTTTCTATCATCAACTACTTGGGCCCAATCTACATCTCTGTAGACTTCCACCTTCATATGACTATATTTCTTGAATAGTAACCTAGTTCCTAGATATTTCTTTAAATATATCAGTACTCTCTCAACTACCTCTAAATGGGAGGATGTTGATGCATGCATAAACTGACTAAGGACACCAACAGCATAAGCTATATTTGGTCGAGTCATTGATAGGTAGAGAAATCTTCCTACCAACCTTTGAAACTTCTTGACATCTGTAACTAGTTCTCCAGTACAATCACCAAACCGATGGTTTTCATCAATAGGGGAATCTATAGGCTTTGCTCCTAACTTTCGTGTGTCTTGCAAGAGATCTAGGACATATTTCCTTTGAGAAATGAAGATGCCCTTTTTAGAGCAAGCAACCTCAATACCAAGGAAAAAACATAGTTGTCCCAAATCTTTCACCTCAAACTGCACAGCAAGGGATACTTTACCTTTATGAATCTCAGAGTCCCAATTCCCTATAATGACAATGTCATCAACATAGACAATCAATACTACAACATTCTTTTGGTTTCTTTTGACAAGCAGAGTATGGTTAGTTTGGCACTCCTTGAACCCAATTTGTTGAAGAGCCAAGTGAAATCTATTGAACCAGCCCTTGGGGATTGTTTCTGTTGAAGATTAATCAATTTTGAGTTGTTTTATGAGTAGATGTTTTATGTTAGTTGTTAGATAGGAGGTGGGGACGACAACAGTTATGTGAATCCAAATTTTATTTTATTTTTTTAGTCTTATATATGTTGTTTTATGTTTTGCCACCCTATAAGGGCAAAGTTGTCTTTGTACTGCTCTTATACTTTTATTATAAATAATAAGTGAAGGGGGCGGCCAGCTTATTTCTCTCTTTTCTTTTCAATATCTCTTCTTCTCTTCTCCTCTCTTCCTTCTTCCTTCAAGAAACTACTCTTCTTTTTCATATTTTTTGAATTCAACAAATTTCTACTGTTTCAAACCATATAAAGATTTTTTTAGTTCGCAAACTTTCCCTTCACACCCTTGTGCTACAAACCCAGGAGGCTAAATCATGTATACTTCGTCTTCCAAATCCCCATTCAAGAACGCATTTTTTATGTCCAATTGGTGGAGTTCCCAATCAAAGTTAACAGCCAAGGATAGCATAATTCGGATAGTGTTCATTTTAGCAACTGAAGCAAATGTTTCTGCATAATCGACCCCATACGCTTGTGTATACCCTTTGCAACTAACCTGGCCTTATATCTCTCAACTGACCCATCTACTCTATGCTTTACAGTGAATACCCACTAAAACCCCACTATCTTCTTGCCTTCAAGAAGATTCACCAACTCCCAGGTGTTGTTTTTGTGTAGAGCACAAATTTCTTCCTTCATTGCATCTGTCCATTCAAGTATAGATAAGGCTTCTGCAACAACTTTGGGAATGGAAACGCAATCGATGGCAATCAAAAAAGCACGAAATGAGGGCGCAATGTTTTCATAGGGCAAGAACTGAGCAATAGGACGCTTAATAGTACATTATCTAACTCCTTTCAACAATTGGGACATTAACAACATTGGTAGAATCATCAATAGCAATAGGTTCAGTAATGTCAAGGGGAACAAGAGTACCTGGATTTTCCTTCAAGGAGTCAGATGGTGGTGGATGTATATTCTCTAGCTGCTCCACAACCTTTGAATTCAATTGTCCCTTACAACGCCTCAAGAAGACACGGAATAGAGAGGAGTTAGGAATAGAAGGGAGAGAAACTTGTGGAACTTGCCTCTCCTCCTCCACACTATTCTCCCCCTGAGGAGAGGCTTGGAAGAAGAATTCAAATTCAAAAAAAGACACATCCATCGATACAAAGTACTTATGTGTGACAGGATTAAAGCATTTGTAGCCCTTCTGGTAAGATGGATAACCCAGAAAAACACATGGAACAGATCTTTTATTATTTGATGGAAAAGTTGTTCTACAATGCTTACTTAATTAACATGTTTGACATTGTAAACTAGTGATAGACACAGATTTAAAAAATTTAGGAAACATAACTTTTAAAGACTCAAAGGACAAATGACCAAGGCGATTATGCCACAACCACAGTTGACTTTTTGTAGACTAACTCATAAGACTCACAGGAGTTGATGCCACAGTGCCAGCTTTATTCTCCAAAATGCAGAGGCCATGAACCATATCTCCTTTATCAATCATCCTCCCCAAGGCTAAATCCTAAAAAACACAAGAACGAGGAAAAAAAGTTACACAACAGTTTAAGGATTGAGTAATACTACTTATGAATAACAAATTAATAGGAAGTTTGGGAACATGAAGGGCATGGGGTAAAACAAGGCCATCAGGAAGGGATATAGATCCTCGACCAACAATAGTGGATAGAGACCCATCAACAAGTCTCACTTTATCCCTCCTAGAGAAAAGAGTGTAGGCTTGAAATGATCCCCACCTCCTAGAGAAAAGAGTGTAGACCAATCATATGGTTTGATGCCCCTGAGTCAATGATCCAAGGTGACTCGGGAGCAAAGGTACACACATGAAATGCAAAAGCACCTTTACCTGATGTAGAAGGGGTAGGAACCGACCTATCCATCTATCCAAGAGTCCTACCATACAGTTCCAAATGATCTCTGAAAGAGTTAATGATGTCTTCCTTGGGATCAAAACCACTAGGATACTCTTGGGAAATTCCAGTAGTCAGATTATTTGATTGGCAATCTTTTGCAACCAGATTTGCAGAAGTAAATTTCTTTTGAGAAGGCTTCTTTGAAGTGTCTTGATTCTTGGTTGCCCACTTGGACTTCCCCACTAACTCCCAACAAATATCCCAAGTGTGTCTAGGCTTTTGGCAGTGAGTGCACCACAGCTTGTCCTTGTCATCATTTTTCCTTGATTCTCCCTTTTTCATTCCAATGTTGCCCCTCTTGCAGCCAAGGTAACAGGTTGCTCCCCCTCAGAAACATTCATTAGATTTTTTTTCTACTCTCTTGAGACTGAACTAAGACATATACCTCCTAAACAGAAGAAAGTTCCCTACTTCCTAAAATTTGTACCCGAAGAGGTCCATTAACAGGAGTCAGCCCCAACAAGAAAGCAAACACTCGTTGGGAGACAAGCTTTTTGTATGCTTTTGCATCCTCATCATTCTTTCACTCAATAGTCTGATAATAGCCCAACTCCTCCCAAACAGAGGTAAGGGCTCAATAGTATGTAGATAGGCTACAGTCTCCTTGCTTCAAGTAGATGATTCTGCTTGAAGCTGGTAAATCTTGGCAAAATGTCTTCATTTAGAGTAGGTTGCCCTAGCTTGTTCCCAAATCCCACAAGTTGTATTAGCCCATATGAAGTTTTTCTTTACATGAAGCAACATGGAGCCTAACAGCCATGACATAACCATGATGTTTTCTTGATCCCGTCTATCATGTTCAATTGTACCAAACTTTGGTTCTTTAATCTTTCCACTTATGTAACTAGCTTTCCCCCTAGCTGTGATATAAAGTTTGATGCCTTTGGACCATTCCAGATAATTTAAGCCATCAAAGGGGGTAATAGACAAAGAAATTCATGTTGTCCACTCCTCCATTAAGGTTTCCTTGATGGGAAGTAATACCAGAGGTTGTTGAATCCTCAGTAGCCATTTTTCCCCATGTTTTACCGCTTACTGTATTCGGCTGCCACCACAAACCTCTTCTTGGTACAACGACCAAGAGAGAAGAAAAAAAAAAAAAAACGAAGACTAAAAGGTTAGGACAGTCCAATGGAGTCTTCTCTTCCTCTTCCAATCAAAGAACAAAGTTTCAGATGGAGAACAAAATTTGAGAAGGTTACACCCAGATCAGTGCTCTGATACCATGTAGTCCAGCAAAGATAAAAAGAATAGAAGAAGGAAGAGAGAAGGAAGAAAGAAGAAGAAGAAGAAGAAGAAGAAGAAGTTTGATTCAGAAGATGAAGGCTGGCAGCTCCTAAGTTTAGGGCAACAGCTTCTAACAAAATAAAGGAGGAAATACCAGAAATACCCCTAAGCTAGTACATAACATGTTACAACATGTTTTACATCACATTAGCTACTTGAACTAATGCAATTGAGGAAAAAAAGAGATTATGGGTTTTGCATGCTTGAAAATGTTTTATATGTTTGATTTTACTTTTAAATTCTCATTTGAAAACACTTTACATGTTATGTTTATGTATTTCAATTTTAGATGATAGGTTTTTTAAAACATTTATTTTCAAACTTAAGTTTACTTTTTTATTAATATTGTGTTTAATATTTTTTTCAATTTTTTTTGCATTTTTTTATCTTTTTGACATTTTTTATTTTTGCTCCCTGCTTCAAAAAAGTGCATGTCTCGCCTTGAGCCTCGGGCGCAAATTGACCCCATATGCCTTTTTTGCACCTTGTAGTTTTAAAACACCAGATAGAACGATTGGTGAGGGTCATATGGTTTATGGCCTTTATATCTAACTCATTCAAAGGTGTCTTCTACTGGTCTATTGAGAGGACGTTTTGTGGATTTGTTGGATCAGCAGGAGGCTTTTTCTAATATGACCCTATAGATTTCAGTCCATTGGATATATAGACTTGTAGAAACAAAATGCACCTGTTTAGCATTTTATTGAAGACTTGGTGCCCATATTTTGACTTAATATTTACAACCCAGGCATGGAAGCAATGTGTTTTTCAAGCAACATATGTATAGAAGGTTCGGAGACATACATGGTCATACTTTTTCACAATTCAAATAATTATGAGTAGTTTTTGAAGAAACTAGATAACCAGATATTACATTTTCCTTGTGCTTTGTTGTTTGGCCCTCTCTTGAGTATATGTATTCTGATATCGGTTCCTGTGAGGAGATAAAGCAAACCATAGTCTCTAGCTCTGTTTTGGAAGGGTTCGTGACAACCAAAATATTCAAATTACTTAAACAAAACTTGATGCCAATCATTTTCTAGTTCTGTTTTTGGTAGGGTTCGTGACAACCCAAATATTCAAATTACTATAACAAAAGTTGATGCAAAAAAGAAAAACATCTAATGAGAATGGATTTGTTTATGTAGTGAGAGCTCTTGGTAGAAGTCTTGAGAAAAAGGTGGAGAGATATGGAAGTTTGGCTATTGAGAAAATTGTTGAGAAAGATTCAGTGGGCGGAAAAATACTTGACTTGTTCTTTTGGAGTGGTGAGGAGTTTGCTAGGAAAGCCTTGAGGAGTTTGAGAGGAGAAAGAAGGAAGAGAGGATGAAGAAATTTGTAATTGGACAAGGACAAGAGATATGGGATGAAAATGTTGATGGGCAGGAGGAAGTATTTGAGGGGGAAGATTAAGGACTTGGCTTTGCAAGGTTCTGCTTGCTCTCGATACAGGTGGAGGAATGTAGTGTCAATGGGAGATCTAGTATTGTACGGTCTATGTTTTTGTTACAGTTTTGTAGTCTTCTGTCGATATGTCAAAGTTGTGTGTTTGTATATTTCTCTTTCCCTCGGGTGATAACTTATCGCCTTACTTTCATATTCTCTTTTTCTTTTTAATGAATTTCTTATTTACCTTTCAAAAAGAATCTTCCCCCATGAGATACCGCAATTTTCCTTTGACTCAAATACTGATTCATAGTGTGACCACAAAAAAAAAAGAAAACATTACCATCAAGGCTGACAATTGTAATGGATAGGCTAGAATCATCAACAACCCCTGCCATACCTCCAAAACTTCTAATCATGGAATCAAATGTACTAGAAGTGGGCATATCAACATTGAAGCTAAGGACCTATTATTTAGAAGAGAAGAGGACACCTAATACCTTCTCTTCAATAGATCCCAAGGGTATAAAAGTTTAGACCCCAAGAACAAATGTCCAACAACAATCACCATTCTATCAAGGCATCACAAAGCCCAAAAAACCCATCTGATAGCAAAACAAGGAAATAAAAAATTAAAAAAAAAAAAAAAAAAAAAACTCTAAACATCTTTAAATATTGTAAGATCACCTTCAACAAACACCAAAATGTATTGCAACCAAGGGGCTATAAGATTCATGTGAGAACTCTTTCCCAATCTTGCACATGAATCAGATCTCTCAAATTTTCATTTTTAAAATTTCCTTTTATTTTCATACAAAAAAATATAAAATTGCATAAAAGACTTTTCAGATTGTCTTCAAACCATCACTACAGTAAATCTAAAATCAAGTTTGGGCAGCCCTATGAAGTTGTATTATGATAACCAAGAAACAATCAACATTTCCAATAACACAATGCAACATAATCATACTAATCATATCGTAGTGGAAAAACACTTCATTTGGGAAAGAGACAATGGCAGGAGAAGTTGTTTTACCCTTTTGAAGTCTAAGATATAGTTGGCTGATATGTTTACTGAAGGGTTAATCGACAAACTAATTGATTGCATTGGCAAATATGCCATAATTGAGAAAGTAGATTATATTTGACAGGGGAATTACTTATTAATTATTATCAAGAGTTTTTCAAAGTATTTGCCTTAATATAAATAAAATGGAGAGGGGCCAACAACCCCATTTATTATCAAGAGCAATTTATTCATAGTGTTCTTCTCTACTACTTCTTTTCTACGGATTGAATACAGTGTCTTCATCTTTTTCCTTGTCTCCGAACACCACTTTTACAACCACTGACAAAACAGTCACTTAAAGAAGATGACAAGAATGAAAATAAAACTTTAACAGTTATGTTAGACAAACTTATCAAATAAACTCTGTAGAACATTAAATAAACCACACAAAGAAAAAAGGTAAATATTTTCCAAATGTACACTACAATGGGAAACACCAATAGAAAAAGTTATTTGTATGTGAAGTGCATTACAGAGTAGTGACTTACTTGCGACTACCCCCAGTGAGAAGACCACTGGGCTGAAATATATCACCTTCAAGAGTTACACTTGGAACGTGGACTTCCCTATTAAAGGCAACCTAACCAAACATGCAAATTAGATAACGTAAGTTATAACAAAAGAAAAATGTTAATACCAACTTATATAAATAAAATGCACATAAACAATGTTGAAATTGTAGATTCCGAGTTGTTGCATTTAATTACATGTATTTAAGCTGAACTTGCATAAAACCATTTCACTAAATATTAAACTTGCAAATTTTTAATTAATAATAAAAGCAACTAGTTTAATCATCTAATATATTTAGTAGAGAAACATGGTCATAAAGAATAGAGAAGAGAAAAGAAAAAAAATAATAGAAAAGAGGAATATGGAAAAACTAAAAGCAAGAGGCATCAACCTCAACTTTAGTTATACATGAATCTGCATCAACCTCAACTTTAGTTATACATGAATCTGTATAATGGCTATCACCTGTTGTAGAACAATATATATAATACAATATATTATCGAATTCGAATATTTGTCGAATTGAATCGGCATAGATTCGAATTCGATCCAATTAAATAATCGATACAAAAATCAGATTCAAATTCGACAATTTATGCAATCCGAATTCGATTTGTTTAAGTCAAATCTCGAATTCAAATTCAAATTTCTGTACCGTTTACAGGCATAGTCAATACTCCCCCAAACCGAGCATAGAAGTTTCTCATGCCCAACATACCAAGAGTATAATGTCATAAAGACTTCAGAACTCCTTTGGTGAACACATCATAGCTGGTCAGTCCTGAAAAAAAACACATACTTATCCCATCATAACCCACCGATCTGAGGTGTCGATCAACCTCATGTTTTGTCCTATCATGTTGTACAAGCTTGTGAACAATATTGATTATCACTTGGTTACACCATGCAACAATAATCACTTCTGCACTGCATTCCCAATTCTTCAAGAAATGATCTCAAACACAAGGCTTCTAACACTCTGTTAGCGTAGGGGTATTTCTGTCTTTATACCTTGATTGATGTTGCTGATCTATAATGTTGTGTTGAAACTTGTGCTCTTAACTTAAGTAAGGGAACATAGGTCTTTTCAGTTATGTTTTAATAATAATATAAATACTTACTGGCCGACTGGGAGAAGTCA